TGTGCAGACCGTCATTCAGCCGGTGGTCCTGCCAATCGGTAACGATCGAGAGATCAAACTCAAGAATGCACTATAAACAACAATCAGGAAGCATGAACTTCTTTCGGTACCTCAAGTCAACAAACATAGCAATTTGCGATTGATGTTTGATGGTATCAAGATGTATGTCACTTGTAAAGAGTCGAACCACGATGTGCCGACGGAGAATCTCGTTGATGGCCTCTGTTGGTTTCGCATAGTACAGCGATCGGCGAATACGGTGACAAGTGGAAACATTGTTACCTTCATACACGAATGGGTTAAGCCCAGTCAAGGTGTTTTGCAAGATGACCACCACCAACATGGTCAAGAAATAAACAGCCCCGCCAATTCAAGCGGATCAAGCACATATCGAGGTTGTCAGCGAGAAAAGATGGCCCAGAAACAATTTCCAATCAACCGGGAGGAGCATCATTTTGACGCGTTCGAGCTGCTTTGCTTCGACATATGCGGGCCAATGGAACAAGTTTTACTGGTTGGCAGCAAGTTTTTGCTGCTGATTGTGGAGGAGGCCAGCGGATACATGAAAGGTTTTTGCCTACGAGCGAAGTCGGAGACTGAAGACCGCGCTATGAAGTACATCGTGATGGTGGACTCACAATTAGACGAGAAGGCCAAGTTTGTGCGATACGATGGAGCTCGCGTTTTCGCGACCAACTCGCTTCAAGTGTTCAGAGAAAAAGAAGGTGCCGATCAGCAAATCACGGTTCCGTATGCATATCAAGTCAACGTAACAGTAGAACGCGCGATTCGAACTATCTTCGCGATCGGCCGCAGCATTCTCCATCATGCCAAGTTAGACAAGTGTGTATTGGCGGAAGTTGCGATGACGTCTGTTTACGTCAATAATCGTCTACCGTCACCTAATATCTAGCACAAGACACCGTTAGAAATTGTCTACGATTTCAAGCCAACTGTCAAGCACATGCGAGTGTCCGGTTGTCAGACGTACATACTGATGTGGTATAGCACTTTGTTGAATCTGTAATACAACAGCCCCAACGTACAAACACAACAATCACCGAGATTAGAAGGCAAAACGGGCTGGTACGTGAGGGCAATCCCTTCGCGGTTCTACCCCACAGGGTTCTGTTGTGCTCTTTGTTGAGGGTTTTCGGTACAACCCGAA